TGCCTTACCTGTAAAGGGTTAAAAAGTCCAGGTAAAAGGAAGGGAGTGGGCACCTGACCAAAAGAGTCAATGGGAAGGCTAGAACGTTTTAAAATTGGGGGAGAAAAGCTTTCCCTTTTGTTGGGGCTGTTGTTTTCTGGGAAAGAGGAGAACAGGGAGCAGTTGTGCTGTGAGAAGCTGAAGGCCAGATATGAAAATCAGATCATATCTAGAGCTACTTATTTAGCAACCCAGATATGTAAGTAGATTAGGAATGCTTAGAAAGACGCGGTTAGGTTTATTTCTGTTTGTTTCTTATTGGCTTGTGGACTCCTCTGCTTTTTGTTCCTCCAAATGCTTTTTGTTTTGCTTCTAACATTTAAGCTGGACCTCAAGAAGGTTATTCTTCATGTTTAATTTTTGTAAGTGGGTTTTTTTTTAAATCTAGCAAAAGCCTAAGTTCCAGATGTATTTTCTTTCTTTTTGTTTTTAATAAACTTTATCTTTTTTTTAGAACAGAATTGGACTTTTGGTGGCCTAAGAAGTTTGTGCATATGTTGTTTAATTAGCTGGGGCAACAGCTAATTTCCTTTGTTCCCTTCCTGTGGGATACCCTCAAGCCCTTTCACCTCCCTCTCTGGGGAAGAGCTGAGAAAGAAATTACCAAGTGCGCCTTTCTGGGTGCTAGGGGGTTTTGCATTTGGGTGGTGGCAGCATCTACCCATCCAAGGTCAGAGAGAAGCTGTAACCTTGGGAGTTTAATACAAACCTGGAATGGCCAGTATTAATTTTTAGAATCCTTGCGGGCCCCCACCGTCTGCACTCAAAGTGTCGGAGTGGGGAATCAGCCTTGACAACCAGTTTAAATCAATGATGTAAATCAATATGCCTTAGTGTTAGTAAATGTAAAGTGTATATGTCTACACAGTTCATATAAAAGTTTTGTTGTTAATTATTACACCATACCTCATAATCCATATGTCAATTTATGTTTGTGTTCAGTGTTTTATGTGGCTGTGATGTTAATTTTACACAGAATCATGGAAGATTAGGGTTGGAAGAGACCTCAGAAGGTCATCTAGTCCAACCCCCTGCTCAAAGCAGGACCAACACCAACTAAATCATCCCAGACAGGGCTTTGGCAAGCCGGGCCTCAAAAACCTCTAAGGATGGAGATTCCACCACCTCCCTAGGTAACCCATTCCAGGGCTTCAACACCCTCCTAGTGAAAGTGTTTCCTAATATCAAACCTAAACCACCCCCACTGCAACTTGAGACGATTGCTTCTTGTTCTATCATCTGCCACCACTGAAAACAGCCCAGCACCAGGTAGTTGAAGACTGCTATCAAATCCCCCCTCACCCTTCTCCTCTGCTGAAGAAATAAGCCCAGTTCCCTCAGCCTCTCCTCATAAGTCATGTGTCCCATCCCCCTAATCATTTTCGTTGCCCTCTGCTGGACTCTCTCTCCAATTTGTCCACTCCTTTCTGAAGTGGGGGTTCCAGAATTGGATGCAATTCTCCAGATGTGGCCTCACCAGTGCCGAATAGAGGGGAATAGCCACTTCCCTCAATCTGCTGGTAATGCTCCTACTAATGCAGCCCAATATACCGCTAGCCTTCTTAGTAACAAGGGCTCATATCCAGCTTCTTGTCCACTGTAATCCCCAGGTCCTTTTCTGCAGAACTGCCGCTTAGCCAGTTGGTCGCCATCCTGTAGCGGTGCATGGGATTCTTCCATCCTAAGTGCAGGACTCTGCACTTGTCCTTGTTGAACCTCATCAGATTTCTTTTGGCCCAATCCTCCAATTTGTCTAGGTCACTCTGGATCCTGTCCCTACCCTCCAGCGTATCTAGCTCTCCCCCCAGCTTAGTGGCATGAGATAAGTGTACAAACTATTGAAACCCATTATTTGTTATACAAACATATTGAACCAGTTCATTTGTGTGTAAATATATCTGCTCTTAAAACAAATGGTGCATCACCCACATTTAGAACAGCATCTAAAACAGTTACAAAGGGAAGGAAAGGAGGTAGTGGGGACGGTCCACCATTCCTCCCAACTGATGCAAAGAATCTTAAACAAGAACCCAGGAGGAAACTCTCTCTTCCCATTGGTGGGAAAAATCTGTTTAGTAGCAACACAAACTATAGCATTGCATGGGAAATGTTGTTACATCTCATAATTGTAATAATTCAAGCTGTAATTAATATATATTTAGAATCTTTAACTTTCTGGGTTAAAAGAAAAGTAAGAGAGACTAGTTACGCTAACTATAGGTTAATTTGATTTTTTTAAGGCAGTGTAACTATGACCTGGGTTAAGTTTACATATGTGGCAAAGGTTAAGTGTGACAGTAAAGAACACCGAAGTGATTCCTACCATCAAGGAGGGAAATTGTTGGGGCTTTTAGCCATTTTTTGGGTTTGTTTATTTTTTGATTGTTGATTTATCTTTCACTCTTTATCTTAGTCTACCTGCTTGTTACCAAGGTTGGTGCCCTTTTTAGGTGTCTGTTTTTCTGATTGGTTAAAGTTTAAGCCTAATCTACCTTGCCATAGTAAAAGCAGGAAGGGGTCATCTGACTCCCAATTATTCTGCCTAGTGACAGAGTCTATTTAAGGGCTACACACTCTGTCAAGGGCTGTCCACTCAGGAGGCAGCCCTTGTTCGGTTCAGCCTGTGTCTGTGCTTGGTTATGTGATGGAGGAAGAGGAACATCATCAAAACACCTGTGCTTACCTGTTTGTCTGTTGTTGAGGAAGATCTCCTGTTCCATCTCAAGTTCCTGATTCCAGTAGCTGTCCTCAAGGTCTTGACCTGAGTTACTTGTGAAGCAAGACAGACGAGAGCATTGTGAGCCCTCTACACCTGAGCTGTCACTCCTAGAGAGTGAATAACGTTGACATTTTATTTGTGTTGTGTCCATATTGGTTAGGTGTTGGGTCTGGGCTTCAAGCCAGCTCTATTATAAAACCACCAAGCTGTTTTATGCTTTATTGCCCTTTTCTCTATATTTTGTTATGTACCCTTTTAATAAACCCTCCTGCCTGTTTTCAGTGTTTAAAATGACTAAGTTTCATTTGACCTGTGACTAATAGGTGATAGACCCTACAGGGGAATCTATCCTTTTAGGGAGGTGGGGTCCTTAAATCAATTCCACCAGTCTCTTCTGGTAACACAAGGATGGATGTGTGCAAGGACTATACACACAATGGGTTGTGCACTGTAGTACAAAGGTATTGTATATTACATAAACTATTGTCCCTTAAATAACCCTTTGCCCTGTATTTTTTTATACTGTTACCCTTTAGGCTGTTATGCTCTGGCTCTTGTCTAGAACTTGGCCCATACATGAAGTTTTCTAGGCAACAGGAGATAAAATCACAGCATGGAGTGGACATTTTAAATACTGTGTTAATACAGTGGAAAATATATACCAAAAAGAAAAAAAAATCAGTGTGAAGGCAATGTGGATCATCTACACAGTGTGTCTTGGACCGCTTCAGCACCTTGTTTTCAACCAAAATCTATATTCTCATTACAGAAGTAATATACATGTAGTGAGAGAGATCACCTACTCTGAGGAGCTTGCAGCCTAAATAGAAAAGGCAGCCTAAGGGTGGTAGAAAGGAAGTAGTATCCCCATTTTACAGATGTGGAACTGATGTACATAGAGATGAAGTGACTATTTTTTACCTAAAACAAAACATCTCCATTTCCAATTAAAAATATTGTTTTTTTATGATTGGCTTAAAGCACAGATACACACACATATGCTTAACTTGTAGTGCCACTCTGAGTGACTTGACCAAAGTGACACAGGAAGTCTGTAGCTGGGGATTGAACCCAGCTCTACAGACCCATACCTTACCCCCAGGTCAATTACATATATTGTGTGGATATTTTTCCAAAAAGTCTTCAAAGTCCTAGAGAGATCTCCAGTCCAAAGGCTCTCGAATGCTCAAATTTCAAGCACCTCATTGCTTTCTTTCATGTTGCATTTAAGTGTGTGATAAACTTTTTATCAAAACCTACAGAACCACCACCTTCTCCTCCAAATGCCAAAATATTCTCTTCACGGTTGTATGAACATTCTTAAAAGCTCGTTTCATATCAGGAACACAGCTGAGTCAGCTTAATTGCTGGTGTTGCTGCATTGCCTGTAGTGGTCTTATGCACTAGAGGTGAATTTTGACTCTGTGAATTCAAGTAGGTAAATGACCTAAATAGTTGAGTCAGATCTGGCAATATTTTAAAGGTTGGACTTTTTTTAACTGTTCACTTTGGGGAAAATACCATTTTATAGCCCTTCTAACAACCCCAAAGAAACACTATTAACCTAGATAAAAAGTGAATGTGTATTACTGAGATTACACCACAGCTAAACCAATGCAAGCCTTTAAAAAAAACAAAATTAAATGCTGAGGGATAGAAAAAAATCCAGGGTATCTATAAATGGGACTCATTTTACAAATGATTTATGAAGTAATTCTGCTGCTCAGGAGCCCTGAGGAAGGACTTGGAATGAATTGAACTGAATGAGCTGGAAATGCGATTTCCCTATATTTTAGCAAAGGCAAAAGTTCGTACATGAATTCCTCCCCTTGTACTCTTTCCCAGCAGCAAGCTTAGCTACTTGGGCTAGGCCATGGAGCCTGGATTTGCCTTTAAGTGCAGAGCTTGAACCAGGTTGTTTATTCAGTCATTACTTAGGGCTTGCATTAAGACCAATCTCTGAACAGTAAGGACCAAATTATGTCACCCTCAGTCAGTGTTGGTCCCAGGATGTTAGACAAAATGGATGAGGTAAAATCTTTTACCAGCAGAAGTTGGTCCAAAGAAACAGATAAGCTTTCAAGCTCAGACAGAGCTCTTCTTCAGGTCCTCTTTCTTGGGAAAGAGTGGCACACCCCAGAAAGGAACAAGTCAACCCACTCACTGAGCAAACACCAAGAGTAAATGACCACATAGTTCTGCCAAGGAAGTGAGAATAAATGGACAAAGACACATTCAAAAGTGATTTAGTACATGTCACTTTATAAGTATAGGTGAAAGTGCCAGAATTCTGCTGAATATGATAATGGGCGAACATGAAGTTGAACAATGATATTCAGCTGCAATATTCAAAAGAGGGAGTAAGTTAAACTTGCACAAGTTAGAGCATTGCTAGGTAAAAATGCTAGGTGTAGCAAGGGTGGGATAACAAAGATGAGGAGCTGTGAAAGTGTGGATACATCCGCATCTGTATCAGCTGTAGTGAATGTGCTGTTGCTTTGGGAACATTATTTCTTATTTTTGTAAGCCAAGAAAATTTTCTTGAAAATGAAACAGAGCACAATGGCAAAGCAAAACAAGTAGCGATTTATAACAAAATAGAAAATTGGCTCCTTCCCTGTGTAAACAACCTGCTTAAAGATGAAGCAGTATAGAAACAAGGGTTACTGGTTCTGGGGCTGGAGTAGGTTGTGGAGTCCTTGGTCAAACTGTGGAAACAGGAAGAGAGATGCATGATCAGGTTCTGACTTTACAGTTTTTCATCTGTCATATTTTGCCACCATTGTGAGCTTATGCTTGATGGCCTCATGCTTGTGTACAGTGTTGGCAACTCTCACTGTTTTAGTCTCATGATATTTGGAGGGTGGGCGGGATGGTCTTTTTTCTTAAAGCCCCAGCTCCCGGTGTTGTGTGATCATGATCAGGTGAGAATCTCTGCCTCATTTAAAAAAAAAAATTCTAGCCCACATGATGGCAAAGTATAGCTGGAAAACATGAATCCTGAAGATTAGAAAAACAGATATGCTGAGGGGGGGGAAATGATCAGATTTTTAAGCCGATCATGATTTGTAAGGGACTTGACTTGTAATTTTGAAACTCTTGGAATTGTCGGTTTTGTACTCACCCATTGTTTTTGTCCTTTGTCTCCAGAGATGCACATATTTAATCTCCATTGTCTTCAGTGGCAGTTGTGTTTGGTTTCTCCTGGAATAATCGGGTCTCAAATTAAACTAGAAATTGACAATGTGTCTTTGGTTATTTCTACACTATGAGCTAGGGATGTGATCACCCTGCTCACATACATGTCGTCATGCTTGATCTCAGTGGGCTAGCACGAGTATTAAGAGCAGCAGAGCCGTGATAGCGCGGGTCGCAGCTGTAGAGGCATGGCTAAGCCAGGCCGAGTAGTAATACTCACTATTTTCAGGTGGGTTTGTTCTCAGCGCCGCTGTGACATGCCTCCGCTGCTGTTTGTGCTACGGCAGCTCCAGTAAGTACAAATAGCATGCTAGCTCAATGATTGCACATGTGGTCATGCTAGCTCTCCCGAGCAGGGACATCACACCTCTAGCTCATTGTGTCGACAAAGCCTTTTACGGATAGATGCCAGATTGATGCCCCTGGGTTGGGGACGTGTGTGAAGTGAGCATACTTAATTCACCTGATGAATGGTGGGCAGGAGGCAGAGTTTGTGAACCTTCCAGCCTTACAGCTAAAGGCACTGCATGTATACCACAGCTGTTGTACTGTTGTCTACACTGATACACACCATGTGGCTTGGGCTGGCCTCAGCGGCAGGCAATCAGGGCAGTCAAGCAGGGCACCAACTTCCAGGGGGTCCCAAATCAGAATCTGGGGAGGCACAATTTTGCCAATCCACCGTTTTTGTTAGTTTGGGTTTTTTTCGCTTGGCTGCTTGGCTTGGGGGTGGGGGGAGTATGGCAGGAGTGCTGGCGAAAACATTTTCTGCCAGGGCAAAACATCTAGGGCTGGCCCTGGATGTGACAAAAAAACAGAGAGAGAGTCTATAATCAGACATAGTTTCTAAAGCCATGTGTGCACCTGCCTGAACTGGGACCTCTCCTCCCACTCGTGGTTCCCAGAGTAGTGTTGTTTGGTAGTGGGGTAGGATCTCCCATGGGCTGTCCCAGTTCAGCTGCAGAACCTCCCTGCAGACCAACAAATCAGTATTTGATGTGTGTGTAAAATGGAATTTTTCACATTTGCCCACCTCCCAGTTAGTGTCACAAACGTTTGTGACTGTGCATAGAAGGTATATACTGTGCCCTGTGACCTAACAGGGAGATTCTCATTGTGGCACCTTAGACTGTTGAGGATCCAGCCCAAGAATTTCCATGGCCATTCATGACCCCAGCAAGCACTTGCTAATCCAGTTGTTAGTAAGCCAGGTTTTGCTTACCCACGCTGTGCATCCACCAATACTAGACCCCTGTTCACCTTTGTATAGGCATGATGGCCACAAGAAGATTATTTCAGAGTGATATAGCATCCTCCTCCTTGCAGATCCTCCCATTCCTGCCTCCCACCCCCATTGTCTTTGCTGTTTTGGGGTATAAAGTAACTTGATATATGTGCAAGGTGCAGCTCCACTCCTGAATGGTACTGGTGTCCTCTCAGGCAATACATACAAGATGAAGACAGAGCCTCCCTCATCTCAGGAGGCTGCCTGTGGTACCAAGACTGTCTCAGTTTAGTTCATCTATATGTGGCTTTTCGCTTTTCTCTGAGTCTTCAATTTGTAGCTTTCCTTAGTATCCTCAATAGTTCCCAGTCCCCAGAGCTCCACCACAGAGCCTGGACCTGCTGATATTAACCTGGTGTCTTTTTTAGGGGCCATTTTCATTTTCTCCTATACCCCAACTCTCTTCCTTTACTCAGTCCAGGCCTCCCCCTTACTTTCTCACTCCGTACCCATCTCCCACACTGATCATCATGAACACTTCCATGACTTCCCTCTTGGTATGCCAAATCTGTTACAAGTCCTTCCTTAAAACCGCCTTCTTCCATATACCTGTCAACTTTAACTCATCAGACTAAGAAGCATTGCTATACTTCCATTGTATTTTGCTGTGCTTTCAGCACATTTTGGATCAAATTCAGCCCTAGCATAAGTGGGTGAAACTCCATTCACTAGGATGGAGCTGTGCCAGGGCCAGGTTGGTCCTTTAAATCCAAAATGAATAATCAGATCTCTATTTAGATTGTAATATCCTTGGGAAAGTAACTGTTTTCATCTACATAGAGCCAAATACATCTGGATATGAAAACCTGGTCAAAAAAGAGAAAGTGTGTTCCATAAAAAACATTCTACAGAAATGAAAAATGTAATTTGTTTTAAATCACAAAAGCCATTATTTTTTTTTAAAATTGAAAACTGAATTTTTTTGGTTTAGGTAAAATATTTTCCTTTTTTATTGGAACGTAGAATATTTCAAACAAGACCATTTTTGTTGTAGTTTTCTCAGAAAATATTTGACCAGCTCTAGTATTCAACAAGTAAGAAATAACAATTTTAACAACTAAGGAGGGGGTAACTAGGCTAAAATTTGGAATTGTGTCATCATAGTGTAAGGAGTTCTATATTGTGGTGATTATTACACACACGCTCTTTACAGTTGTCACTCCATCCCTAATCCCAGAATGGGTAGGGAAATAAGAGCAGGTATCCAAACAATTGTCATTGCCAGGCCTATGAAGACACAGCCCTGTATATAGGTCTGCTTGATAGAAGCGTGGGTGGTTCTTGAATGATGCCTCTCTCTTCAGGACCATCGCCTATCTTCCCCTTTACCCAAGAGACAGTCTTTAAGAAGCTGAAGCTTCTTGTCCTCCCTTTCCCAACATATGAGATGGGCTCCCTGCGTGGGGATATGGCAAACGCTAATTTTAACAATAGACGCATTTGGAAAGACTGATATCTCGTGTATTCCAGACAATGTGAGCTTTTGCAAGGTTGCTCTTACATTCTTACAGGTTTTGCTATTAAGGTTGCCCTTACATTATCTATAAAGACATATAACTGGAGTTACAATATCCTTGAGCCAGGGCATAACAACTGTCCCGAACATCAGGCTCTGTCATTGACCAACATCAAGGGAAATCTCCTTCCCATCTGCTGACTTTCACTTCTCTGAAAAGGACATGACTACATATCCCAACAGTGGGGTGATGTGTCCTTTTCCTCAATGTCTGAGGGCAGTTGGAAAGTGGTCCCTTAGGGTCCAGCTGCAAGAAGAACTACCCCTGTGACAATCCTCCCAAAGTCTGCAAGGGAAAGGACACCCCCAACTTTCAGACAACTCTCCATAAGTCAGCCCCTCAATACTGCCATTTTTAACGTTCTTCTCTGAGCCCTCTCCAGTTTGCCACTATCTTTGCTATTTTATTAATTTGTTTAGATTTATTGTCAAATCCACATTTGCACAAAAATTACTCTGGGTGTTTGCACAAAAATTAAAACACAAGTCTATATAACAATAAAATACTTGAAATATACAAAAAAACCTGAACCTACCACTTAGACATTCAATCACGTAACTACTATTAACAATCAGAAACAGCACAGCGCAAATACTAACAAACCCCTCCCATGTTTTTCAACCATCCTTCAAAAGACCCCCTTTCTCAAGTGGGTGAAATCCTGGCCTCTATGGAAGTCAATGGCAAATCTCCATTAACTTCAACAAATGGCAATATTTATTTACAAATTATTACACAGGTTTCATTTTTTTTAACAGTATTTAGATGGAAAATACAAACTCACCCTAGTTCCCCTGACGCAGTGGTTCCCAAACTTTAACAGCCTGAAAACCCCTTTCACTAAATTGTGAAATCTCATGAACCCCCTCCTAAAAATGAATATTTCCAGGGATTTAAATTTAAATTTCCTCCACTCTCTGTGGGGCTCCTGCTGTTGGACCCCGTTGACCGTCCCGGTCAACTGAGCTCCACTGAGCTCTGGCTGCAGGTCCCGCTGACTGCCGAGGCTCGGGCTGCCAGCCCCAACTACCTGGCCCCGCTCTCTCTGGGGCTTGGGCTGTCAGCCCCGTGCAGAGCGCTGGGGTTTGGGCGGCCAGCTCCCCCGCTGACGGGGGCAGGACTGGGGCTGCCAGCCCCAACTGCCCAGCTCCGCCCTCCCTGGGGATCGGGCTGCCGGCCCCACGTGGAGTACTGGGGTTTGGGCTGCCGGCCCCACAACTGATGGGGGCAGGGCTCAGGCTGCCAGGCCCAACTGCCCTGCTCCGCTCTCCCTGGAGGCTCTGGCTGCCAGCCCTGCAACTGAATCCCACCTGCTGCCTCCAAGGCCCGGCGTCCTCTGGCCGCCATTAGTGACATTTTTCTGGCGACCCCCCTGTAACATGCTGCGAACCCCAAGGGGTTCGCGAACCCCAGTTTGGGAACCACTGCACTGAGGTAATTTACAATTTATCATCCGGCAGCTAAAGAAAAGTGAAGATTAAATGTAACATTTACCTAGAAGACTTAGGCACAAGGCCAGAGAGAGAAATGAAGCTACACAGCACTGGATTCACAAGCCTCCCACTCACTCCCGGAGAAAACTCAAACACCAGCTGCACAATTCAAACCCTAAACCAGACAACGATGTCATGAGATTCCACATTCCTGTCTGCACATTCTCCCAGCTACTCTGATAGCCAATATTCTCTGTTGCTAAAGGCCCTGCCCTGGCTTGTCTGCTTATCTCTCAGCCTTGTCATGTTGTATGGACAGAAAGCTTTAGAGCAGGACAGAACATTTTGATGGGGGACAATTCTATTGTTCTGTGAAATGTTGATAGTAAATGCACAAGTCAATCATGCCACCTGTGTGCAGGAGGCAGAGTGCCGGAACGCCATTAATCTGAACAATAAAGGGGTATAAGCGATGGTCACAAAAACACCACCCTATACCGGAAACCTACTGACCGCTATTCCTACCTACATGCCTCCAGCTTTCATCCAGACCACACCACACGATCCATTGTCTACAGCCAAGCTCTACGATACAACCGCATTTGCTCCAACCCCTCAGACAGAGACAAACACCTACAAGATCTCTATCAAGCACTCTTACAACTACAATACCCACTGGCTGAAGTGAAGAAACAGATTGACAGAGCCAGAAGAGTACCCAGAAGTCGCCTACTACAGGACAGGCCCAACAAAGAAAATAACAGAACGCCACTAGCTATCACCTTCAGCCCCCAACTATAACCTCTCCAACGCATCATCAAGGATCTACAACCTATCCTGAAGGACGACCCAACACTCTCACAGATCTTGGGAGACAGGCCAGTCCTTGCCTACAGACAGCTCCCCAACCTGAAGCAAATACTCACCAGCAACCACACACCACACAACAGAACCACTAACCCAGGAACCTATCCTTGCAACAAAGCCCGTTGCCAACTGTGCCCACATATCTATTCAGGGGACACCATCATAGGGTCTAATCACATCAGCCACACTATCAGAGGCTCATTCACCTGCACATCTACCAATGCGATATATGCCATCATGTGCCAGCAATGCCCCTCTGCCATGTACATTGGTCAAACTGGACAGTCTCTACGTAAAAGAATAAATGGACACAAGTCAGACGTCAAGAATTGTAACATTCAAAAACCAGTCGGAGAACACTTCACTCTCTCTGGTCACTCGATTACAGACCTAAAAGTGGCAATACTTCAACAAAAAAACTTCAAAAACAGACTCCAACGAGAGACTGCTGAATTGGAATTAATTTGCAAACTGGATACCATTAACTTAGGCTTGAATAGAGACTGGGAGTGGATGGGTCATTACACAAAGTAAAACTATTTCCCCATGTTTATCCCCACTCCTCCACCCCCCACTGTTCCTCAGACGTTCTTGTCAACTGCTGGAAATGGCCCACCTTGATTATCACTACAAAAGGTTTCCCCCCCCGCCCCATTCTCCTGCTGGTAATAGCTCACTTACCTGATCATTCTGGTTACAGTGCGTATGGTAACACCCATTGTTTCATGTTCTCTATGTATATAAATCGCCTCACTGTGTTTTCCACTGAATGCATCCGATGAAGTGAACTGTAGCTCATGCAAGCTTATGCTCAAATAAATTTGTTGGTCTCTAAGGTGCCACAAGTCCTCCTTTTCTTTTTAATAAAGCGGAAGTATTCCATGCACAATGCCTCAGGAGCTCCCAGGCATATCTGGTGACCATGCTCACTGCTACATGCTCTCAGAGGGTACAGCATACACTCCCTGAGAAATACTGGGAGATAGATAAAATAGGGTTGCCAAGAAACAACAGGATATTACTCATGTCTAAACAGAGTGAGAGAGCTGGACTGTGCTAAGCACACTTGTGGGTGCGTAAAGCAGCGGCTGGGACATTAAGCAACATAGTCAGCATGTGGGAAAGAGCCTTCCTTTGGCAACCCCTGCACTTGAGTGGGCTGTAATTGTGCTCTACTCAGCACGGGGGCCACTTCCTGCTTGCACTTCCTGTGTCAAAAGCCATCCCAAAGAGGAAAGGAGGGTGCAGAGCTGTTACCCTGCCTCCAATCTGTAGCCTGCTGGCAGAGTTGGATGACCACATAGGGAATCCACACATGGTACCCCTTCCCAAGGGGCAGGGCTGTGGACATACTCCTGCTGGGTGGCGCAGCTGTGCATTTCTCCGGACGGGGGGGGTCATACCTAAAAGTCAAAACGGGGCCCTAATTTTCCTCCTGCTCTGGCTCAGCATCCGTGATTACCCCTTATTCCAGTTAATTTACACCAAATCACACCTCTTGGAACCCTTAGCACATGCTCACACTCCTTCGTTACCAACGTCCTCTCTAAATTTGGCCTTCAACATGGCCCCAGTGCAAGATACACAAGGCTGCCTAGAGAAAACATGTTAAACTCTAAACTGTGTTTCAGCATCTATTAAAAGACAGTCTTTGTAATCAAATGTGAAACCACAAAACCCCCAAACAGCAGTGTAAGCAGTTCTCCTGAATATTATACGCCATGGCTTGCACTTGCTGCTGTGGAGAAAAACTATAGCAAAGAAAAGGAGAACTTGTGGCACCTTAGAGACTAACCAATTTATTTGAGCATAAGCTTCCGTGAGCTACAGCTCACTTCATTGGATGCATAAAATGGAAAGTACAGTGAGGAGATTTTATATACACACAGACCATGAAAAAATATACATTGTAAGGAGAGTGATCACTTAAGATGAGCTCTTACCAGCAGGAGAGTGGGGTGGGGAGAGAGAAAACCTTGTGAAGTGATAATCAAGGTGGGCCATTTCTAGCACATTTCCAGGAGTTAACAAGAACGTCTGAGGAACAGAGGGCGGGGGAGGGGCGGAGGAATAAACAAGGGGAAATAGTTTCACTTAGTATAATGACTCAACCACTCCCAGTCTCTATTCAAGCCTAAGTTAAACCTCTCCAACGCATTATCAAGGATCTACAACCTATCCTGAAGGACAACCCATCACTCTCACAAATCTTGGGAGACAGGCCAGTCCTTGCCTACAGACAGCCCCCCAACCTGAAGCAAATACTCACCAGCAACCACACACCACACAACAGAACCACTAACCCAGGAACCTATCCTTGCAACAAAGCCCGTTGCCAACTGTGCCCACATATCTATTCAGGGGACACCATCATAGGGCCTAATCACATCAGCCACACTATCAGAGGCTCGTTCACCTGCACATCTACCAATGTGATATATGCCATCATGTGCCAGCAATGCCCCTCTGCCATGTACATTGGGCAAACTGGACAGTCTCTACATAAAAGAATAAATGGACACAAATCAGATGTCAAGAATTATAACATTCATAAACCAGTCGGAGAACACTTCAATCTCTCTGGTCATAGAATCATAGAATATCAGGGTTGGAAGGGACCTCAGAAGGTCATCTAGTCCAACCCCCTGCTCAAAGCAGGACCAATCCCCAATTAAATCATCCCAGCCAGGGCTTTGTCAAGCCTGACCTTAAAAACTTCTAAGGAAGGAGATTCTGCCACCTCCCTAGGTAACGCATTCCAGTGTTTCACCGAGTGAAAAAGTTTTTCCTAATATCCAACCTAAACCTCCCCCACTGCAACTTGAGACCATTACTCCTTGTCCTGTCATCTTCTACCACTGAGAATAGTCTAGAACCATCCTCTTTGGAACCACCTCTCAAGTAGTTGAAAGCAGCTATCAAATCCCCCCTCATTCTTCTCTTCTGTAGATTAAACAATCCCAGTTCCTTCAGCCTCTCCTCATAAGTCATGTGTTCCAGACCCCAAATCATTTTTGTTGCCCTTCGCTGGACTCTCTCCAATTTATCCACATCCTTCTTATAGTGTGGGGCCCAAAACTGGACACAGTACTCCAGATGAGGCCCAATGTTGAATAGAGGGGAACGATCACGTCCTCTGCGATCCCCTGCTAATCATAGGATCATAGATTAGGGTTGGAAGGGACCCCAGAAGGTCATCTAGTCCAACCCCCTCTCAAACAGACCAATTCCCAGTTAAATCATCCCACCAGCTTTGTCAAGCCTGACCTTAAAAACCTCTAAGGAAGGAGATTCTACCACCTCCCTAGGTAACGCATTCCAGTGTTTCACCACCCTCATAGTGAAAAAGTTTTTCCTAATATCCAATCTAAACCTCCCACACTGTAACTTAACCATTACTCCTCGTTCTGTCATCTGATACCATTGAGAACAGTCTAGAGCCATCCTCTTTGGAACCCCTTTCAGGTAGTTGAAAACAGCTATCAAATCCCCCCTCATTCTTCTCTTCTGCAGGCTAAACAATCCCAGCTCCCTCAGCCTCTCCTCATACTCATATGTTCCAGACCCCTAATCATTTTTGTTGCCCTTCGCTGGACTCTCTCCAATTTATCCACATCCTTCTTGAAGTGTGGGGCCCAAAACTACACAGTACTCCAGATGAGGCCTCACCAATGCGGGGGGCCCCCCCTTCTCGCTTGCCCTCTACTTATACATCCCAAAATGCCATTGGCCTTCTTGGCAACAAGGGCACACTGCTGACTCATATCCAGCTTCTTCCACTGTCACCCCTAGGTCCTTTTCCAGAACTGCTGCCTAGCCATTCGTCCCTAGTCTGTAGCTGTCATTGGGTTCTTCCGTCCTAAGTGCAGGACCCTCACTTATCCTTATTGAACCTCATCAGATTTCTTTTCCCAATCCTCCAATTTGTCTATCCCTCTTATCCTATCCCTCCCCCTCCAGCGTATCTACCACTCCTCCCAGTTTAGTATCATCCGCAAATTTGCTGAGAGTGCAATCCACACCATCCTCCAGATCATTTATGAAGATATTGAACAAAACCGGCCCCAGGACCGACCCTTGGGGCACACCACTTGATACCGGCTGCCAACTAGACATGGAGCCATTGATCACTACCCGTTGAGCCCGACAATCTAGCCAGCTTTCTACCCACCTTGTAGTGCATTCATCCAGCCCATACTTCCTTAACTTGCTGACAAGAATACTGTGGGAGACCGTGTCAAAGCTTTGCTAAAGTCAAGAAACAATACATCCATTGCTTTCCCTTCATCCACAGAACCAGTAATCTCATCATAGAAGGCGATTAGATTAGTCAGGCATGACCTTCCCTTGGTGAATCCATGCTGGCTGTTCCTGATCACTTTCCTCTCATGCAAGTGATCAGGAACAGCCAGCATTTCTCATGCATTTCTCAATACATCCCAAAATGCCATTGGCCTTCTTGGCAACAAGGGCACACTGTTGACTCATATCCAGCTTCTCGTCCACTGTCACCCCTAGGTCCTTTTCCGCAGAACTGCTGCCTAGCCATTCGGTCCTGGTCACTCGATTTCTGATCTCAAAGTGAGTATCCTTCAACAAAAAAACTTTGAAAACAGACTCCAACAAGAGACTGCTGAATTGGAATTAATCTGCAAACTGGATACAATTAACTTAGGCTTGAATAGAGACTGGGAGTGGTTGAATCATTATACTAAGTGAAACTATTTCCCCTTGTTTATTCCTTCCCCCCCGACCCCCCCACTGTTCCTCAGATGTTCTTGTTAACTCCTGGAAATGTGCTGGAAATGGCCCACCTTGATTATCACTTCAAAAGGTTTTCTCTCCCCGCACCCCACTCTCCTGCTGGTAATAGCTCATCTTAAGTGATCACTCTCCTTACAATGTATATTTTTTCATGGTCTGTGTATATATAAAATCTCCTCACTGTACTTTCCACTTTATGCATCCGATGAAGTGAGCTTTACCTCACGAAAGCTTATGCTCAAATAAATTGGTTAGTCTCTAAGGTGCCACAAGTACTCCTTTTCTTTTTGTGAATACAGACTAACATGGCTGCTACTCTGAAACCTGTCATATAGCAAAGAAGGAAGTAAAAGAAAGCATCATCTTGGAAACTGTGTCAGTAACTTCAGAGCAATGACAGCATCACAGAGTGTAGCTGCCTGCTAACTGCTAACCTCAGTTCTGCAGGCCAACTGACAGCAGGCGAGGAGAAAAGCAAAGCAAAAGAGATGACTAGATGAAGGAAATAGCAGCCTCCACTTTTGGGGGTGGAAGGAATTGGCTTTACCTTCCTCTCTGGTTTGAATTTGGAAGCCAATATAAAAAAAATAAACCAAGGACAAGGCCCTGTGAGGTGCTGACCACCATCCAGGTCCCTCTGAAACCATTGGGAGTTGAGGCTGCTCAGCACCTTACTTGCTCTGGCCACAAAAGTTTGAGGGAGGGAGGTTGCAGTTTGGCAAATAGCAGATGAGAGGTTTATTACATGTGTATCACTGTAATGCCTGCTGAGCAAACAGCATCCCATGCCTCCCATCTACCGATGCAATCATTCAGCAAAAACATACATATAATATTAAATGGATTTCTCCCTAATGCACCACAGCACTTGGTCCCTGAGCAGGGATGTCAAGTCCTTTTATGGCTCTTCCATAAGATTTACAGGAAGATCCTTTCAGGAGGACATCTTGAGAATTGGAGTAAATGTAAGGCACTGCTATTTCTCCAGTAGCCATCAGGGATGCAAGAAACTTAACTGGAAAAAGCCCAATGGGTGCCACACATCTCTGTTCCACCATTGCAGTGGTGCTGGAACTAGGGGTGCTACTGCACCCCCTGGCTTGAAGTAGTAATAACAAACACCTAATACATGGTTTTCATGGTTTTCATCATGAGCACTCCCGCTGTAAAAATTGCTCCAGGGCTCCTGCACTACTGACTCAGAAGGCACACGCTACTCCCATAAACCTTCTGGGGCTCCCTGTTTCTCCACTTGTACAGCTTCGGAGTATACAAATACCTAGTGCTGGTGCACCTGCCAAAGTAATAAGATCTTCAGATAAAGCACTTAAAAACAGTGTTGAAAATTCTCATTCAAAGCTAAAAATGGAATTCTATCCACTCATGTATCAGGGTGGGTGTAGCAGCCTGGGATTTGAAAATTCAGACATAAACTGACACTACCCTGGATAATTGATATGTCGGGGATGGTCTCAATAATTTAATGTCTTTCTCATCTATAGCTTCTACGATCCTGCTCTCCACACATCACGTACCAATGAGACACACTCACATTGCCGTGGTATAAATGACTACACAAGGTACTGGGCTATGAAGAATCAAGCCCACTGTTTATTTACATGACACATACGTGACAAATACCATGATGATAGGTGCCTTATAAATGCTAATAATAATACATAGGCCAAATTTGGAGGCTCATACTCCTTTTGCCCATGCCCCATTACACACAGAACGCAAACTGTGTTTTATCTGAAGTACTTCTAAGCCCCCCATCACTATAGTAGCTGAGCACCTCCCACTCTGTTAAGGTATTTATGTTCACAGCATGCCTGTGAAGTACCATCATCCCTATTTTATAGATGGGAAACAAAGGCATCAAGAGACTAAGTGACTTGTGCAAGGTTACACAGGAAAGTCTGTAGCAGAGCAGAGATTGAACCTGGGTTTCCCAAGACCCAGGCTGATGCCCTAACCAATGGACCTTTTCTTGCTCTCCAAACCTAAAGATTTATATCAGTGATAATCGTGAGGATGTGGGAGGACAGGTATTGTGACAGTTCAGACACTTAGCAACAGCAAGCACGTAATATGTTGTGGCAACAAGGTGATTATGATGTCAGCAGGGTGTGGCATGTCATGACATCACTGTGGCAGTTTGGAAAAGTAGCTTGGTTTGGGTTTTAATGGTGTGGGTCTGTCGGAGCAGCTGGGGTTGAATTTTCTGCATGGGGGACTTGTGAAACAGACTGCTGTGTATGTCTCTAATGTTTAGTCTAGTCTCCTCCACCACTTTTGTGCCTGAATCAACTATGGTAATTCTTCAGTTTTCCTTACCTTCTTCATCAGCTTTAGGCAATCATGTAGCTCAGGAGCATTAGCGAATGTGTTTTGTTTCCTGTCTAAATCTTCTCTTATAAAGATGACTTTTGTGACTCATGCCTCCTTTATAAAATCTCTATCTAAATACTGTGTAGCTTGGGATAAGAGACAGGTTGCACTTTTATTTCAGAAAAGTCAGTTGAAAGGATACTTTTGACCCTGACTAGCGGCAGATTGCATCTTGCAAGCACTGGTCTGTGTTTGGGGCGGTGGGGGGCTGCTTCGTTCTGTGGGGTCTCCACAATGGATTGTACCTCCAGAAAAGAGAATTTATCCTTCCCAGAGCTCCAGGGAGTGTGTTGTGCTATGCCGTATGATGATGCAGCATACCTCCTTCCGGGCCCCAGCCAAATCTATTGGTTGGTGTAGAAAAGGATGGTGTCATATTTCCACCTCATCCCTGCATACTGTTTGGGACCAGATTTTTAAAGGTATTTGGGTGCTTAAAGATGCAGATAGGTCCCTAGTGGGATTTTCAGAATTGTCTAGGTGCCTAATTCTCAGTGGTTTCAATGGGAGTTAGGCACCATGTGTCTTCTGAAAATCCCACTAGGCATCTATCTGCATTTGCAGGTGCTTAAATATCTTTCAAAATCTGTCCCTTGGCTTCTTAGGGGTTACGTGCTTAAAAGTACATCTATGCTTTTCCCCAATCTGTGCCAGGACACCCCCAGAGATACCATGACATCATCAGATGTCTCCCATGTTGAGACAGAGTCTCTGCATGTTAAAGACCAGGAGACACAAGCCGATTTGGAGCGTCTCAGCAACCTGGAGGGGTCGGAGTATTCAGACCAAGCTGGTATAGCATTAAAGGAGATGCAGACAGGGTTTGAATTTACTGTGCAGATAGCTGAGTATAAAGATAACAAGAAGCAGCAGCAGCATGAGAAGATGGTAAGTGGAAGTGAAAATTCAGCCAGAGGTAAGATCATGGTGTATAATGGGAGATGTCATCCAGCCAGGGAGCTCAGCCCCTGAAGGAGAGTGGGAGCATGGGAGATCTGAGGCACCTCTCTCATGAGGCAGCAGCTTGGATGGACATAGATTAATATTGAACTGACATTTTGATTTGGCTCAATGAATCAGGATGTTCTGATTTGGCTCAATCTGACCTCAACAAAATAGTTCATTTAGATTTTCCTATAGAAAAATTTTGATTTTGCAGAAATTGTATTTTCTGTTGGAAAAAAAAATTCAACAGAAAATTCCCAACCAACTCTATAAAATACCTTTTCAAAGGAAACTGGTGGATATTATAGGATATTATAGTCAATATGTGAATATTTAATTGCCCAAAGTTTTAGGTACATGAGACCAAATCTGTCCCAGCAAAGCCTGATTAGGTCTCTTATATCAGCTTAAATATGAATTGATACCTACTCCCAATTTGTACCAGGATGCTTCCAGAGGTACCCCAACATCATCATACTTCCCAGATGATATGACAGAGGGCTTGGATGGTAAGAGGCAAGCAGTCCATTTGGAGAACAGGGCAAAGAGAGAAGCTGATGCTTTGCAGCCAGAAGGATTCAACAGCATGGGTGAGATCAGCAATTTGGAGGAGTTGGAACAGCCATGCAGCAGGCGCATCACAGCCACTGATCTCGAGCTGGAGAAGATGAGGTGGGATTCTGCACTGACCAGGCTGAAACACAAACAGGAAGACAATGAAAAGCAACGGCAGCATGAGAAGACTATGGAGCAGCTACGTCAACAGGCAACACCCAGATCAGTAAGTGGGGATGGGAAAAAAGTGCTGGGAATGACAGAGAGGGAAACTATTTCCACACTTCCATAAAGCCTCATTCCTTTGAGTATTCAAGAACATTTTCATCCTGCTTTTACATTAGACCTGAGAATGTGATCCCTGCAGCTCACACTGTTGCTCACAGAGAAGTCAAGATATTGATTCCCCTAAGAACCGTCCCCTAAGACTGTGATAAAATTAAAAAGAGCTGTTAAAGTAATTTTAACTTGCAAATTAAGTTTATTGGGTAAAGTTCAATGGGCTTAAGAAAAACATAGAAGGAATGTTTTCAAAATGATGAATTCACCAGAGTAATGGATCTTACTGATGGTTCTACTGATTAACTCGTGGCCAGCTTTAGGGACAGCTGACTGGGGTGCCAGTTTCTGGAGGGCACCAAATCAACATGAGGGGCATGTTACATGGCTCAGCCCTTGTTTAAGTGTTTGTGTTACTCAGCCACGAAGGGGGGCACCGAAAATGTTTGCCACCCTGGGCAGCAAAACGTTGAGGGCCTGCCTTGGTTTACCTGCCTCTATAATGGAAGAGGTCAAAGAGGACTTATTGCTAGAGTAGTTTCTGAGAGATTTCCTGAGGCACAGTTAGATGACCAAGCCACAAGTATATCAGAGCAAACAGTTGTGAAGGCAGGTAGAGATCTGTTCACCAAGCCCATAAAAATTTGGACGATGGGCCAGATTTTGCAACCCCTTGCTCACAGAAGTAGCCCTGTTGAAATCACATAGTCAAGGGTTTGTAGGATTTGGTCCATTGTTACCAGATGTCCAGTCTAAAGGAGATAATTTTTTGACAGAGTCAGAAAGGTTTAGAAGATGTGCCTCTTGCAAATCTCAGTTGAGGGGGTTTTCCTGATCACTGTTGCTGTCTCTGGAGCTATTTCTCCTCTCACTTTCAACGGTTGGTTACTGGTGTGAGTAAGAGAAGTATCAGGCTGTCTATTCCTATGTCGTCTATGGTAAGATGTATATGTATCTTTAACGTTTCTTGCAGGCTTTGTGCTGTTAGTTAGCACAAGATAGATAGAAGTGTTTGCATTATTATCTATTATTTGTATGGCAGTAGAGTTTAGGAGCCTCAGTTAGGATGGAGGACCACACTTGGCAAGGTGCTGTACAAACCCAGAGATTTTAAAGTTACCGGTAACACCTTCTATGTGTATAGTTTGGCAACAAGTACAGCTGGAGGGATGTGATCTCACTTACACTGGTGTTAAGCAACAGTAACACTAATGGAATTACCCGTATAAATGAGATCAGAATCAGGCCCAGTGTATATTGGCCTCTTTCAGGCTCAGTCAAAGAAAGAAACTGCCAATTCCTATATTAACATAAGGCCTAACCATTCCCACATAAGGGTTGTGTAAGTACATATGATTGAGCTTTTGGTTATTAAAAAATGAATTAATATGTGACTATGAGCTCACACAGAGCATGGGCTACATCCAGTACAGACCAAAAGGACTGGGTGTGCTGAGCAACAGGATCTGTACAAAGTAGTGTGCAGAATGCAGTCTTGCAATGTCATGCATCTCTCTTCCTTTTTCCACAGTTTGGCCAAGGACTCTATGACCTACTCCGGCCCCAGAACCAGTATACCTTGTTTCTATACTGCTTCATCTTTATACACCTCATTTACACAGTGAGGGAGCTGGCTTTCTATTTTGTTATAAAACACTACCTGTTTTGCTTTGCCGTTGTGCTCTATTTCATTTTCAAGAAGATTTTCCAGGATTACAAAAATAAGAAAAAATGTTGCTAAAGCAACAGCACATTTGCTACAGCTGAAACAGATGCTGATCTGTCCTGACTTTTCCCCCACTTTTCCTGCTCCCCATCTCCATTATCCCACCCGCGCTTCACCTAGCATTTCTACTATCATTATATACACAATGCTCTAACTTGTGCAAGTTTAACTTATTCCTTTTGAATATTGTAGCTGAATATCGTTGTTCAATTACATGTTCTTCCATTAACATATTCAGCATAATTCTGTCACATTCACCTATACTAATAAAGATACATGTAATAGAAATCGCTTTGGAATGTGTCTTTGTCCATTTATTCTCACCTCCCTGGAGGAAGATAGCGGCTTGGCTATGAACATTGTTTCTGTGCGGCTGTATGGAAGGGGGCCCATGTGGTTATTTACTCTTGGTGTTTTCTCAGTGAGAGGGTTTACTTGTTCCTAGCTGGGATGTGCCACGCCCTTTAGTTCCACACCCCATTTCTTTTGAGAATGGGTGGCTCATTTTCACTAACAAGCACTCACGTTTGTTGCAGCCAAGTTCTGGTGACTGCTGAGATCGCTATAGACTCAGGACCCATAAAGGAAGATTTAGGAGCTAGTCCTTGTTTTTCCTGCAAGGTCTGCATATGATATTGTGTACATGATGGGGAAACAACTTAATGAGCATTTCTGGATACCTCAATCCCAACATCTAAAGAGCTGTTCAAGTCAAAGTTTTAGGGGATGATATGGGTGTAATTCAAACATATTCCTGAGTGTGCTTCTGATATGCTTGATCCTGGACAGGATGATATTCAGTGTGTATTCAAATGGCATTCTGTTTCCATACAGAACCCATGCTTTGCATGGCAACTAGAGCAAGCCCCTTGAACCATGTCCCTGGACGTAAATCTATCTCAGACCCAGGTCTAGCTATTGGATAAACACTGACCCACCACAGAAAGAGTGCAGATCTCCAAAGTCATCCCACAGCCAGATCTACAGCTCTATATTTTCAAAATAGTGGAAGATCACAAATAGGATCCTCTAGCTTGTATGTGTGCAGAGATCTGCAGTAAATTGAATGATCCATGGCATGATCTTCCTGAGAGGAGGCTTGACATGGTAAGTAAGCTGAGGCTGTCTGACACAACCAACATATGTGAGTTCAGGTAACTAATCCAAATAAAATAAGGGCCAACGGTTTTATTGCAGCTAGATTTCCTCTTTTCCAAGGTTAGATGACAGTTGGCTCACTCCATACAAGAGATTTTAGGATACTCACCTGCCATACTTTGTGGTTCCTCTGTAATGCAGCAATTAGCCATAGTTGAATTCAACCACACTGTATCTGGAATCCTTGGCAGCATGGGGAGGCTGCTGACTAAGATAGCTGTTCTGGTTGACAAGTGCCATCTCTGATGTTGTCCAGGGAGAGCCATATTTACTCCAGTGCAATTCTAGTTTACAACTGTAACTGAGATTTTGCAGAAAGTCAAGCAGCTGGGATATCACTTGTGTAAAATCCAATCAGCCTGAGAACCCTTTAGATTACAGATATTTCTATCAGCATCAGTGTGGAGACACCAAATCAAGTCCACTAGAAGACCCCTATATAGGGGTTCCCCTCTGTAGTTCTGTAATGCCACCGTGTTTCCAATGTGAACTTCCTAACAGCTTTCTGCATATCTGTGATAGCTTAGGAGTTGATTGGATGTTTGTACATATTTTTAAAATAGGTTGGACTGACAGAGGAATTTGAATGGCTGTTGATAATCAAACTGTGTTATTAAGCCAGAAGTGAAGAGATTAAAAATTATTAGTGCAAACACAAATGTAAACACTTTATAAGTGTAATTACCTGTCTCCAATAACCTGGGATGGTGGTGGCTAAAAGTGCCATGGAGCTGAAAGGGGGAAAATGAGGATTTTAGTGGGATGTGTCCCATTGACAGATGAGACATACATTCCATGCAACATGAGAGACGTAGTACTTAGGAGGACAGGTAGCACAAGAGTCAAAGGACCTTGGCAACAGAGCTGAGTTACTGTAGCAACAGGGAGATAGTGACTATGGTATCATGACATCAGTGAAATTGTTTCTACAGTTAGTTTGGTTTGGGTTTGAACTTTCTGTGGATGGGAGAGTGGGATCCTTGTGAAATGGAAACTATTGTTTGAGAAACCAACTTCACAAAGTTTTTTTCTTTCTCTGTGCCTAAATCTTGTGTGACAAGAGCGATATTAACTTTCCTCCATAGGCTTTATTCTGTAAGTTATCTGAGGCTTCAGACGACTGTCATAAATGGGCTTTTGGGAGCAGGAATAGACATCAATGGGGGAGAGTTCAGGAAGTGGGAAGATCCGGGGCAGCCAAACAAGGGTCCCCTGGGACCAGATGATATTGAGTGGGAAGAGATGCAGCTAAAGGTCAAGTTAACTAGGCTGACCTACCACAATGAAAAATAAAGAGAGTGGCAGCATAAGAAGATGGAGCTGATGTGTCAGCAGGACCCATTCAGAGAGGTCAGTGGAGCTAGGCTGCCTGTTACTCCTTTGTGTCAGAACGTTGCCAGGCAATAGCAACGTGTGGGGAAATCTGGGTGAAGCAGTAATAAGGCCTTCTACTAGAAGAGAAGCTTTCAAGAGAAGAACGTCTGAGGGGTACCAACAAGCACAATGAGCAGATTTAACTGGGAATTGGTCCTGCTTCGAGCAGGGGGTTGGACTAGATGACCTTCTGGGGTCCCTTCCAACCCTGTTATTCTATGATTCGATGATTCTATGGGCTGTCCTACCGTCAATCAGACACGAGCAATGCCTAACGGATTCTGTCTGTTCAAACAACAGTTGCACTAGGTCTTTGTTCTGTGTTTGCACACAGCCAAGCACAACGGGGACCTGGTCCATGACTGTCCATGCTCCTAGGCACTACCACAACGAACATTATTAATAATATAACAGAACACGAATGATTGGAATTTATTATTATTTCACCTGTACACTGCGGTAGCACCTAAAGGCCACCACCAGCTCATGCCCGATTGTGCTAGGCACCAGACAAATATAATGGACAGTCCCTGCCCCACCTGAAGGTGGGTTACAGCGGTGGCGCTATAAAGTGGCACAGGCAAAAAGGACTGGGCCGTGCTGGGCCGAGGAGTCTGTGACTGGGAGCACCAAGAACATAAACATGCAATATCACAAACAGCTTTCCCCTACGGTTTGATGAGGCGCTCCGGGGCTTTTGCCTGTGCGCAACCAGCTTGCATTGTTCCTATATTACTTCATCTTCATATCCATTATGAAGGAACTGAGCTCTTTCATTATGAGGCATCTTTTGTTCTGCATTGCTGCTACCGTAACCTACTTCGTTAAAGCCTTCCTGTATCATTCACATGCTTTGCTTTGTGCACTTTCAATATACTCAGGCTGGGGAAACCAGTCCTCCAAGCATTTGAATGTCTTGTGCACAATAGCCAAACCACTGTCTATGGAAGAAAAGGATTGTTAGATGATATGGGCACACATCACTGTGCTTCTCCAATACTTCATCTCTGTTAGGATGCTGTTCTGAGTGCCTTTGCCTGGGCTAAATATACTTACGTAGACTGCTGTGTATGGCAACTAAAATGAGGCACAGTGAGCTTAGCCCAGAGTCACACATACCCCAGATCTGTGCCACACTACGAGCATTTATCAAGTGCAAGGCCAGTTCTCCCAAGAAGATTTCTGAAATATTGTCTCCTAAGGAGACCAACATTCAGACTGGCTTGACTTGAAGCTCCAATGACATTTTCAAACGTTTTGGTGAACCTCGACCAAATTTCAAGTGATCTGGTTTGAAATTTGGATAAGTATAAATTATAAGTGGATAAGTGCAAATTGTAAGTGAAATTTGGATAACCTCCAGCTGCGGTTCCTCACTGCCTCACCAGCCACTCCTTCTGCTCACTGCCTCACCAGCCACTCGCTCGCCAGCCGACTGTCAGTCACCTTCTGCTGCCACCTGCATCTCTACTGCGACCTCTGCACATCATTCTCTTAGCAATTTTCAGGTCTTACAGGCTGGGCAGAAACGCAGTCCCCCCACAACTGATTTCAGCTCTGATTGAGCCTTTAAAATAATAAAGAGGCTCCTAATAAAGCCTATTTAGCCCTTTCTTTGAACAGGGGGGGGAATCCACACCTCCTGGCTAGGACACCTGTCCCCCACCCCTCTTACTTTCACAGGGGTCTGGCATTCAAGCCCATGGCTTTCAGCTGAGAATGACCCCCTTATCTGGGACAGGTTAAGCGCAGTTCTGCTCCCCTTTATTCATACAATAATGACAACATTGGTAACAGCATTTCACTACCCCTGCATTCAGTACTAAAGTGATCTGTAACCCAACACCAGCCAAAGTTGATTACTTTGAGCAACACACCACTCTATCTGCTGGATATCTAAGCAGAGCAGGAGCAAACTGTATTTACATGAACACACCTAAAGTCTCTTCCCCTCCCAGCTAGCTGTCAGGGGAGAATTCATTCAGACCCTGCTTACATCTGCAAAGAAAAGCTGGAAAACACGATGTCATTGTGCCCTAAAGCCTCACAAATTGGACAGCCAATAAAAAAAGCACAAAATTAATTATTAAAAAGAAAAAAGCATGATGATTCCCACCATTTTGAGGTCTGTCTCATTATTTCTGAATGCTTGACATTGACAGTACTGAACTCAACAAAAACGTTTTGTCAGCCAACACCAACTTTCTCACTGCTTTATTCCCAAATTCCCTCAGAGCCAGGTGTGCAGCACCACAGTCAAGAGGCAGTAGAAATCACTGGCCTGCTAGTAAGCGGAGATCTGCAGGAACCTGAGAGAAACAGGGCTGGGTCTGTCTGAGAAGAGGATTTCGTCCTTAACAGCCAGCTAAATAAAGAGGATGAGACATTGGAAACAAAATTAAAAGAACTCTTTTTGTGGGAAAGGCAAATTATTCTAAATAAAAAAAGATATCACAATGGAGATGGTTTTGTGTCAGATTTTGTTTTAATTAGTGAAATGCACCTGGTGTTACCAGCCTGAAGCAAAACCCTAAAGATCTGAACAATCCCCTCACTTTGGGAAACTTGGATCTGTCGGCTGTCCCCTACCTCTACACTGAGCTGAAATTTCAGACTCAACTTCAACTGAAACACCAGAAAAGTTTTGATCTTGATATAAATCCCAATTTTGAGGCTCAGGGGTAAGGATATATGTGCTATTTCTTTATATCTGTAGCAGGAATTCAGGCAGGA